GCAAGCCTCTCCTAGTGTCCGCATGATGGTGACTTCCGTGGCCTGATGAGAGTGTGGGGCCCGGGGCAGGGGGGTAGGTGGAGGGGTGTGGGGGCTGGGGCAGCTGCCCTCAGGGGTGGTATGTTGGGGCCTTCGGGGCCGGGGGGGTGTGGTGGGCTCCACTGGGCCCTGGGGGTGTGTGCTGGGGTCCTCAGGGCCCTGGGTCCCCCACAGCTTGGACATGGGCCTCTCTGTGGCAGCCCCTCAAAGCCACGAGGATCAGCGCTTGGAGCCTTGAGAGCCATGTGCAGGAGCTCAGCAGGACCACCGATGCCAGCGGAGAGGCCAGGAAGGGCTTCTGGGAGGCGTTCGAGGTGTGCCCTGATGGCTGCCACCCTCAGACTCTGTTCCCTGGGGCTGGGGCAAGTGCCTGAGAGGAGCACAGGGTCCAGGACAGGCTCGGGGTGGGCATCTAGGGTCCAGGATGGGCTGGGGTGGGCATCTAGGGCTGGAGTGGGCATCTAGGGCTGGGGTGGGCATCTAGGATCTGGCATGGGCTGGGGTGGGCATCTAAGGTCTGGGGACTGGCATATAGGGCTGGAATGGGCATCTAGGATCTGGGATGGGCTGGGGGAGTGGGCATCTAGGGCTGGGGTGGGCATCTAGGGTCTGGGGACAGGCTGGGGCCGTAGGCTGAAGGCTCCGTCACATTCAGATGCTGCAGCAGAAGGAATGTGGGTTCCTGTACCCCTGAAGGAGGGACAGTGGGTGGAGAACAAGCCCAAGAATCGCTACAAGAGCACCCTTCCCTGTGAGGGCAGAGGTCAGGGCTTCATCCGTCGGGCCTAGGGGAGGTAGGGGGAGGCTGTGCCTCTACCACCACTGACCTGAGCCTCTCTCTTGCACATCCTGGACCCCCTATCTCTGCTTTCTACGGGTCTGTGGGCAAAGAGGAAGGGTGAGGCCCATGAGCTCCACCCTGGAGACCTGAGCGGCATCTCCCTTCCCAGCTGACACCACCTGAGTCATCCTCCTTGACGTGATGACAGCAGGCCTGGAACTGATAATGTCAATGCCAGGTACATCAGGGTGGGTGTGTGTGGGAGGTGGGCCTGGACTCATGGTTCCCGGGGGGGCTCAGGAAGAACCAGGGTGTCCAGGGAGGCGGTGGGCGGCAGTCCGCAAGGGGCCTCAAGCTGGATAGGCATTGGTCCTTAGCCCCTTGCGGCCCTGGAGTGAGAAGTGTGAGCCACCAGGGCTCCTTTGCATATCATTCGTTATAGCATTTGCATGAACTGGTTTGTCCTCTGGAACCAGTGGCAGTTGACCTCACCCCTTTTCAGACTGACCCTGAGGAGAAGCCAGGCCGTGGCGTGGCCAGGGTGTACATTGCCAGGCAGGGCTGTCTGCAGGCCATGGTAGCCGCTTTCTGGGCCATGGTGCACCAGGAGAACACGTGTCATCTTCATGACCACCAGGGAGGTGGAGTGAGGCCGGGTAGGGGCGAGGTGCCCACGGGCAAGCAAGTGCCCATCCTACCCCGCGCACTTCAGCTGCCTGAGGCCCTTCCCGACCAGGCCAAGGAGCCTGTGGGAAGCCATGGGACTGGGGAGGGTCCCAGAGAGCCCCGTGGCTGCACGCACATGCCTGTGTCTCTGCAGGGCACGGGGCCGGGGGAGATGCAGGGTGGGGTGCCGGGGAGGCTGATGCAAAGCATTCTCCCCAGAACAAGTGTTTCCAGTACTGGCCCGAGCTGCATGGCAGCCAGGAGTCTGGCCGGGTGCGTGTGCGTAACCTGGGAGCTGCCAGGCCAAGGGCAACTGTGTGGGAGCTGCAGGTCTGGCTGCCGGGCTGGTGAGCCTGGTAGCCGTGGAGTGTGCCCGCTGTGGGCCTGCACTGGGAGACCCCGACACCTGGCTGCATCTAACCCCACATCCTTCCGGGGGCCTCCATATCCTTCAACCCAGAAGGCGTACCCCAGGCCTGGGCGCGGGTCACTGGGGTGGCCACATTCTCAGTCGTGGGCGAGCGGCTGCTCCTCACATACACCTTTTCAAACTGCGGCTTTGGTCTCTGTTGTATACCAGCGGCGCCCACTTCTGTCCCGGGTAGGTTACCTCCTTCTCCCCTCAGCCCCCCGCCCGGTGGGGGTTTCCCCATGGAGCCGTCACAGTTGGTTCTTCCTTATAGAATCACTGTCCCCACAGCCTGCTTTCCCCGTCCAGCTCCCTCTTCCCTTCTCCAGGTACCTGAGCCACCGGGGCCATCTCGGCGGCCCCCTCCCCATTTCCTCCCTCCTCCTGATCGCCTTGGCCCCCGCAGCCCCTCCACCTGGGCACTCCAGACAAACCCTGTTGTGCCTCAGCCTCTCCCCTCCAACCCCTCCCACCCGGGGGTCGCACTGACCGCCCGCCCCGCCCAGGAGGAGCCACCGCGCACAGTGCAGCACCTTCAGTACTTCAGCTGGCCGGACCACGGCGTCCTCGGCTTCCTGGCCGAGGGGAACTGGGCCCGGAGCAGCAAGCCGGGGCCGGCCCGTGGTGGTGGACTGCAGATGCGGCGGGGCCACGCGGGCTGTGCAGGTGCGGGGGCGGCGGGGCCACGCGGGCTGTGCAGGTGCGGGGGCGGCGGGGCCACGCGGGCTGTGCAGGTGCAGGTGCAGCGGGGCCACGCGGGACGTTGCGGGCGGAGGCCTCGGGTGGGGTGGGGTGGGGTGGGGCGGCCCGGCCCCGCCCCGCCCCCCGCTCATCAAAGGCTGCCTGGTTTGTCCTCAGCGCGGCCCGGACTCACCGGCACTATCACCGTGATTGGCATCCTGGTGGACGTCACCCGCAGGGAGGGTGAGCCGCTCCTCCCCGGGAGCGCCCCTCCCCGGCCCTGCTGTAGCCCCACCCTTCAGGACGACCCCACCCCTGCCCGCCGACCCCGCCCCTGCCCGCCGACCCCGCCCCTCAGCCGTAGCCCCGCCTCTGCACGAAGGCCCCGCCCCTCAGCCGTAGCCCCACCCCTGCCACTGACCCCGCCCCTCAGCTGTAGCCCCGCCCCTGCATACAGGTCCCGCCCCAGCCGCAGCCCCGCCCCTGCACAAGGCCCCGCCCCTCAGCCGTAGCCCCGCCTCTGCACGCAGGCCCCGCTCCTAGCCATAGCCCCGCCCCTGCATGCAGGCCCCGCCCCTCGGCCGTAGCCCCGCCCTGAGCGCGCATGTCCCGAAGGCTGGACTGCGACATGGACGTTGCGAAGACGACGCAGCTGGTTCGGCGGCAGCGCTCCGGGATGGTGCAGACAGAGGCGCAGTACAAGTTCGTGTACCTGGCGCTGCAGCGGTACATCCAGGGCGAGCAACTGCGCCTGCGCGAGCAGGTGGGGGCGTGGCCTGCGCGGGGCGGGGCCTGCGCTGGCGTCGTCATGGTGACCGGCGGCCCCTCCCCCTGCCCGAGCGCGAGAACCAAAACGTGGGCGCCGCCCCCCCGCGAATAGGGTTGCAGCCCCCGGCCAGCGTCTCCAAGGGCGCCCGCGTGTGAGTGGGGCGTCGGGAACGGGCCGCGGTCCTCCGGGAGGGACTAAGGGTGTGCGGGGCGCAGGGCTGAGCTGCTCCGCGCGCAGGAGGCGGAAGCCCTGGGACCCGAGGATGCGAACCTGCGGAGCGGCGGGTGCTTGAGGAGCGCCCGGCCTGTCCGCGCCCGCATGGGGCGGGAGCTGCGGGTCGGGACTGCGTCCAGGACAGAGCCACAGCTCGTCCCCAGCTCATGGAGGCCCAGGGGCGGCGGAGGGAGTGGCGGCTGCCAAGCCCACGGGTGACCGCGTGTGAACTCGTGTGCACCACTAGCTCAGCACTCAGTGCGGGTCTGAGCGGCCAGGACACCGGTCTGCGGGCCCTGCCTGCCCCCGTGGTCTGGGACGTGGCCCCGGTGGAGACTTGGCCCCATCAGTCACAGGGTGGATGCTTGTCGAGTGAGATGTGTGTGACATGCTCCTGTGACCGCCTGCGCAGCGTCATGCGTCTGGCCCTGCCGGTGACAAGGGTGTGGGTCTGTGTGTGGGTCACAGAGTGACGTCACTGCCTGTGGGTCACAGAGTGACGTCACTGCCTGTGGGTCACAGAGTGACGTCACTGCCTGTGGGTCACAGAGTGACGTCACTGCCGTGGCCCGTGCTTGCACGCCCCACATCACCTGGTGGCCTGTGGCTTTGCTGCCTTCCAGTAAAGTGCTGTGTTCTCCATTCTGTGTCTTCGTTGGGGCCTGGGGCAAGGGTGGGTGTGGGCCCCCAGAGCGGCACTCAGCTTCCGTGGGGCTTTCCGGAGCCCCTCCCCACCCCAGCCAGAGGCCCAGCTGGTTGGAGCAGGAAGTCCCTGGGCTCTGGGGTCAGGGGTGTGAGACCTGCGTGAGCCCGAGCTGGCCTGGTGTGCGGGATTCCCGGGGCTTGTGGCAGACGAGGTAGGGCCGGGGTTGGCGAGCCTCCTGCCCAGCCCTCGTGAAGCTACATTCTGACTCTTCTCTAGCGAGGCTGGCCCTGGAAGGGCCAGAGGGTCTGTGGGGGCCGCACGTCTGCGGATCTGGAGGCTGGACGCTGGCTGTTCCTACCTCTGCTTCTGGGGACCCTTATGCTTGGGTTCCCACAGGGGTCACAGGTTCTGGGGTTCTCTAGTCAGGGACCCTAGCAGGGCCATGGGGCATGACTTCCTCGAGGTGCAGTCTAGTATGGCCATGGTGGGGGATGGGGGAAGAGAAAGGCTCCCTTTGTCAGCCACTGGGCTCTGGGCTGAGCTGAAGCCCTCCCCCTGGTCCTGCCTGGCCTGCCCTAGGTGCCCTGGGCTCTCCCCATCTCCGTGGGGAGCCTCACACTGCTGAGGCACCAGCCAACTCCAGAAACCCACCACCTGTCTGCAGCCAGAGGGGCTGGGAGCTGGATCCCCTAGAACCTTGGGCCCACCTGTCCCAGTGGCTGCTGGGAGTCTGATCCCGTTGGGGTCTAATCTCGGTTGAGGCTGGGGCAGGGGCACACAGAGTGAGGCCCTCTTAAAGATGGATACAAATAATTTATTTAAAAATCTACAATTCACAAGGGTTGGAGGGGCAGCTGGAAGTTTCCGTGGTTATCTTGCACTGGGGGGCTGCCCTGCCCCCCCGACCCACAGTCAGAGGGCAAGACTAGCACCCCCACCCAATGGCAGGGACCAGCCCCGCCTGAAGAAGGCCTGGGGAGGACCCGGGGGTGAAGCGTGAGCGTGAGGTGGGTCATGGCACGCCCCTCCCTCCCTTCCCTGGCAGGCGATTCTGTGTGCATGGACGGAGGGGTGCTGGCCAGCTTCCCTCCTGGGCCCTTCCCCATCTGCGTAACAGGAGCTGCGGGTGGTCTCTGCAGCCTGTGGGAGCCTGTGGTTCTGGGAGGCTTTGGAGACCCTCTCATCCACCCCGTCAGGGCCCAGCCTGCAGAGTGAGGGGTGAACAAGCTAAATGGAGCCTGGACTTGGCGGGGCCCAAGTGGAATCCCCAGACATGCTGGGCTCCTTTCGGGTCCTCAGGGACCGACTTCAGTGGCTGCTACGCCCTTGAGACCCCAGTGGGGGACCCACTCATGACTGACCTGGGCAAGGCTGGTGACCCTAGTTGCCAGTCAGAGGCCCGAGGGGGAAGGCGGCCATGGTGGTGGAGGGCTGGGAGGTCGGGGGCAGGCAGCGCAGGTTCCCCGTCTTGAGGGCGCACTGCACCGGCCAGAGCGCCACGCAGAAAAGCACCAGCAGCAGGGCGGAGACCAGCACCATGCGCCTCCAGTCCCTGCAGCGCGCCCAGCAGCGGGCCAGGCGGCCCCGGCGGGGGCCAGGGTCCTGGGCGGGCATGGGTTCAGCGGGCTCGGCGGGCTTGCTCAGGCCCACGTCCACACATACAAAGCCAGGCTTGTGGCCAGGCGTGGCAGGCGGCGGCTGGCAGCACAGCTTGGTGCCCTCCAGCCACACGGGCTCCTCGCGCCGCAGATGCGCTGGCATCCGGGCCTGCAGCTGGCGGCTGGTGCGCAGAGCGGGGGCTCCAGCGGGCGGCACGGCCGTGGGCTGCCTGCAGAAGGGGCAAGGCACAGCTTCACTGCCGGGGCCGCCCTCGGGCTGAGCAGCCACCAGCCGGGCCAGGCACTCCAGGCAGAAGACGTGGGTGCAGGAGAGCTCCTTGGGTGTCTTGAAGATGTTGTCATAGCCTGAGAAGCAGATGGAGCACTCCAGGGGGGAGGCCACTTTCTCCGAGCCAGGGGTGCCAGGGGACCGGGGGCTACCGGCCGAGCTGGGGGATCGGGGCATGGAGGCTGTGGAGCTGCTCCGGCAAGGGGGTGGCACAGCCTTGTGCCACATTTGCTGGCCTGAGGACACGTCTCTGAGCTGTGGGACAGAGATGGTGGTGAGCAACCACAGGCCACCCCTTCTGGTGGTCTTCTGTCTTCCCCTCTCCTCTTTTGCCCAGCACCAGCCCTGGAGATCCCAGGGAAGGGCTCTGCTCCCCCTGCACTCCTAGAGAAAGTTCCTCCGGTGCCCCGGGAGGTCATTCTGCCCCAAGCGTGATCCAGCCCTCGCCACCTGTCATCACATGGCTGCTGCAGTGGTGAGCCCACCCCGGGAATGCCGGCCACATGCACGGGGGTCTCATTGACCACTCGGTGGGCGCTTCTTGCTGGCCTTGCCCCGCCTGGCCCTGCTGCCTGGGCGGAAATCATGGTAAGGACGACGGGCTACAGTCACCACTGTTTATGCAAGTCTGCGCCCATGTCACGGGCCTCACGCCACAGGGCCCATGTCACGGGACTCACAGACGCCACAGGGTCCACATCATGGGACTCACAGATGCCACAGGGTCCATATCACGGGACTCACTCTACAGGGCCCACATCACGGGACACACATGCCACAGGGTCCACGTCACGGGACTCACAGATGCCACAGGGTCCATGTCACGGGACTCACAGATGCCACGGGGTCCACGTCATGAGACTCACACCACAGAGCCCACGTCATGGGACTCACACACACCACAGGGCCCATGACACGGGACTCACACATGCCACATGGTCCATGTCACGGGACTCACACACACCACAATGTGGAAAAGGCTGCCCAGAGCATGGGAGACTCAGCCAGGGCCACCCCAAGGGAGTCAGCAGCCCCTGGGCCCCAGCAGATGTGGCTCTCAGGCAGGCTGCAGGCTCCAAGTTAGGTGAAGTGAATTTGAACTTGGATCCCAGGATGGGTTCCTGGCTTGGCTGGTGCAGGCCTGATTGGCAGGCAGCTGTGTGAGGGTAGGATGTGAGGGTCTCTGGGTCTGGGGGCCGAGCTGAGCCCCACGGGCTTCGGGAAGACAGGGAGGGCCCAGGCACGGGTGAGTGCCTGAGGAAGGTGCGTGCCAGCCACAGCCTGGGGCTTTCGGGGCCGGCCTGTCTGGCTGCTGAAGGTCTGATGGGCACGGGGGGTGGGGACTTGGATCAGCGCAGCCATTCCCTCTGAGCCAGCCCCTGTCTGACGGTCGGGATACCCTCCGCCACCTACCCAGCGGGAAGCAGGATGTGTTTCTTCTCCCTGACCCACTCCCATCTCATGGCAGGGCTGTGGGGATGTGACTCTGCCCCTGACCTGGCCCAGGTGGGCATCTCAGCTGACCTGGGGTCCTGCTCTGCCTCCTGCCCCACCCTGCACCCAGGCTCCCCCACAAGGAGCCACGGGACTGTGTGGCCCTGGTGGCCCAGGCCACAGGTGTCCCACCTGGAGGGAAGGGGCAAGTGGTGACTGAGCCTCGAGGGGCTGACTGTGCGTCCCTGTGACGTGCCTCCTGGCACTGCCCTGCCCCACCCCTGACTTGCCAGTGAGTCCCAGGCAGGCCGGTGGGATGACACAGGCCACTGTGACCACCTGAGTCATGCACCGTCACTGTGAGGTCGTGAGTGCCCCAGGCACCAGGACCTGGGGAGTGTCCTCTGTGGCCTGAGCACCCCACAGAACCAGTTCCTTGGCCCAGGCCCCACCCCTCCATGATGGGGCCCCACCTTGAGCCTGTGCAGGTGAGGGGTGAGCGTGGGCTGAGCTGGCCTTACCTGGCGGCTGCGGGTCAGCGGGTCTTGGGCATGGTCGTCCTCGCTGGCCACAGTGGGGCTCCAGGGCCTGGGGCCGCCCTGCCCCCCAGCGTCTGCTTCCTCTCCTCCAGCCGGCCTGTGCTCCACCTGGCAGGTAACCCTCCCAGGCCGGCTACCAGCAGCTGTGCTGGTGGCACTGGTCTGGCAGGTGTGGCTTCTTCTCCGTCCCAGACAGGCGGGGCACAGGGAATGCGCAGGGCAGAGCTCTGGTCGGAGGCAGGTGTGAGTTGCCGGGTGTGGGCTCCCAGGCAGGTCTATTTATACCCTGTGGGTTGTGCCAGCCGAGGGTGTGGCTGCAGGGATTGGCTGGCCTCGTCCCCACCTTGGTGGGCCAGGCAGAGGTGACTGGAGGGCAATGAGTGAGGGGTGAGGGTCGGAGCCTGGTGGGGTTGGCACGGCCTCGGCAGCCTGGGCAGGTTTGGGCTGGGGTGTGGACTAAACCTCTCTTCCTCTGGCCCCAGGAGCCCGGAGCAACCTCTGGAAGCTGCGCACCCAGGTTCAGGTCCCTGGGGCCTGAGCTCCTGGGTGGGCCTCCCAGCAGAGACCTTCCCCGAGCCCCCCACAACCTCAGCCCAGCCTGCCCCGGCCCTGGGGTCACTGCTGTCTGCCCCCAGCCATTCCTGCCACTTCACTGCCCAAGCCCACCCGTGTGCTGACCTACCTCATCCACACACACACACACACACACACACGCCTGCTCTCAACATGGCCAGGTCCACACTCACATGTGTGCCCCGTGTCCACACACCCCTCAGTGTCACACCCTGTCACACACAGCCATGTCCGACACTAACACACGAGGCTGAGTCCACTCACGCTCCTCAGTGTCACACGCTGACACGCATGTGTACCTGTCACATGCTCACATGCCCCTCAATGTCACACTCACACCTGTCACGCTCACACACACCCATCATGTGAATGTCACCTCTCTGTGTCACATGCTCACACATGCTTCTCACACACACGCTCCTGTGTCACTTATGCCCCAGTGACACACACGCCCTAGTGTCACACGCTCACACGCCTGTCACACGCTCCACACACACATGCCCGTGTCACACGCTGTCACACACACGCCCCTCAATGTCACACTCATGCCTGTCATGCTCACACACCCCTCAGTGTCCTATGCGTGTCACACGCACATGCCCCTCCATGTCACACGCTTACACGCACATGCCCGTCACACGCTCACACACGCCCGTCACGCTCACACACACACGCCCCCCACCCCACCAACACACACACACACACACACACACCCCATCGGGCAGGGCAGTCCAACATCACACACACACACACGTCCCCGGCTCACACACACGCCCCTCAGTGTCACACGCTCACATGCCCCCTCAGTGTCACACGCTCAGACACGCCCGTGTCACGCTCACACACACATGCCCGTGTCACACGCTCACACACATGCCCCAGTCACGCACACACACGCCCCAGTGTCACATACACACACCCGTGTCACACGCTCACACACACGCCCTGTCACACGCTCACACACGCCCCTCAGTCTCACGCTTACACACCTGTCACGCGCTCACACGCCCCAGTGCCACACACACGCCCATGTCACGCTCACACACGCCCCTCAGTCACACACACACACGCCCTTGTCACACGCTCACACACACGCCCGTCAGTGTCACATGCTCACATGCCCCAGTGCCACACGCTCTCTCACATGTGCCCTGTCCACACGCTCACACACACGCCTGTGTCACACGCTCACACGCTCCTGTCACGCCCACACATGCGCCCGTGTCACACACGCACCAGTGTCCCATGCTCTCACACACACGCCCCTCAGTGTCACACGCTCTCACACACATGCCCCTCAGTGCCACACGCTCTCACATGTGCCCTGTCCACATGCCATAGCACACTACAGGACTGGTGTGTGCAAAGACCAGGGCTGGAGCTGGTGAGTCTGGGGGCTGAGGCCAGCAGGGCTGGGATGGAGGGTGTGGGGGGGCCTAGAGGAGCAGCCAGCGGCCTGGACTGCACCCGCAGTGCACACTCCTCTGCCATGCGCTTGAGGGCCTGGTGTAGACCGAGCTGCACCCCAAGGCCGTCCAGCCTCCAGTCCCCCGTCATGGAGGCAGCTCTCTCCCAGCAGGCCCAGCGGACCCCATGCAAGGGCAGGTCAGACCCGGTGCCATGGCCCCATCCCCACTGAGGGCCCCACACGGGCCTGGGGCGTGTCTCTCTTGGTGGGCTGGGAGTTCAGGGCCCACCCTGGTGGGAACACCCCACAGGCTGGCCTCAGGCAACTTCCCCTACAGGTGCCACCAACCCCTCAGTGGGGACCCAGAGGCTCCCCCGGTGCTGCCCCGGGCATCTTGGAGCCCAAGGGACACTGGGAAGTGGGAACTGTGACTGCAGCGGGGGGCGGGGAAGGCCCCGTGGAGGAGGACGGGGGCCTGGGCTCAGGAAGGGAGGGCGGGCCCCTGCCAGTTCCAGGACTCTCCGTGGGGACTGAGGGGCCTCAGCAGGGGGTGGGGGTCCAGCATGGGGGAGGGTGGGGGCTCAGCAGGGGTGTGGGAGCTCGTGGGGGGATTTGGGTGCTCAGACTGGGGAGAGTAGGGGCAGGGGGGGGGGACGGATGCTCAGAGAGGGGGTGAGAGCTGGGGTGGAAGAGGGGGGGTCTCAGCAAGGCATGGAGGTCCAGAGAGGGAGGGGTGGGGACTCAGAGTTGGGGAGGGAAGGGAGCTCTGTGCGGGGCCCTGTGCGGGAGCCTGGGTGAGACCCAGCCTGGAATGTGCTCGCTGGAGGCTCCTGCTCCCTGAGGTCGTGACTCGGGGTCACGTGCTGCCTCCAGGAAGGGCCCAGGTCCCCGCTGCTCTGGGAACATCCTCCCAACAGCTCCTGGGAATGTCTGGGCACTGAGGTCACGCTGGGCTCCCGGCTGACACTCGTGCTGGAGGCGAAGCTGAGAGGCCAGAGGAACGTGCCGTCCCGGGGCCAGGCCTCCATCCTCCCAGCCCAGACCAGGCAGGGGCCAGGGCGCTGGGCTCTCGGGAGGCCTGCGGGGACCGCGGAGCAGCTTGGCCAGCTGTGTCCAGGGCAGAGCTTGGCCCGCCTGGTCCCTTCTGTCCCGGCCAGTGAGCAGGAGGCTGAGCGTGTGGGTGTGTGCGAGCACACGTGTGCGTGATGCGTGTGGATGCTGGTGTGTGCGCCTGACCCCCCACCGCCTTCACTTCTGGTCTCCTCACACCCTCTCAGGGACTCCTTCCCCTCCACACCCCATCAGGCCCCTGGGTTATGGGTCAGACCCGGTGCTGCCAGGCCTGGGAACACGGTGTGGCTGGTGGGGGGAAGGGCCTTCCAGGCCGGGGCTGCTCTGGGGCCCCCGGCCCTGCCCCGCCCACCCCACCCCACGCTGGGCCATTGGCTCAAGTGCAGCCGCTCTGTTGGCTCCGGGGCTGGACTTCTTTCCCGAGGACCAGGTGTGGGGAGCAGGGTGGGACAGGGCGGGCTCTGGGACATGACTCAGGCCTAGTGTTACCCTTGACAGTCACCCATCTCCTGTGTGGGGCCGACCCGCAGCCCGGCTCAGTGTCCACTCTGGCGGGAGGCTCAGCTGGTGCGGCGTCCTGTGCCTGGTGAGGAGGGCATGGCCCACGCTGCCCAGCAGGGCCAATTGAGGTAGAATGGGCAGGTGGGGCCGAGGGGAGCCGTGGAGCGCAGGGTGTGTGGAGGTGACAGCATGACCCTGGGTTTCTGGTTTGGGCCACTGGGTGGGAGGAGAGGAAGGGGACCCAGAACAGAGAGGCAGGGCTTGGCGGGGGGGCTGCCTGGAGAGCAGGCTGGGGCAGTGCCCGTCTGCCCTGCCTGGCCTCCAGAGCCTGCCTGCTGGACTTGCTGACTGTGCTGTTTCTGATTTTATCCTCCAAACCACACACCTGGCCTGGTGCAAACACAAGAATGAGTTCCCAGGGTCACACAGACCTTCCCTCCATCCCATCTGGGTCCGTCTCCTTCCCCACGTGAGGAGTCTGGGGGCTGAATCACAGACACGTGGCCCAGGCCTCAGGTGGGGCCGTCAGTGCTGGGCTCGGTGGCCTTGCGCTGGCCGGTCCTCCTTTCTCCCCAGGACCAGGTGACCCACCTGGGCCCAGGGCAGAACGGATGTTCCCCGGTGCCACCTGGCTGCAGACCTTGGGCCGGGTGTCCTTGGGGACGGGGACACGGCCCTGCAGCAGTCACGTTCCTGCCGCGGTGACGGGGACAGGCACAGCGCAGACATCCTAGTGCCAGGCCCTCTGCCCCTCACTGGCCTGTCCTGCCCCAGCTCGGCCCTCTCTGGCCAGGCCTATCACTGTCAGCAAACGTCCCCACACTGCGGCCCCTCAAAGAGCTGAGGAGCGACTGCTGTGCTGGGCTCGGGGTGGCCAGGGCCCCTGCTCCCCAAATGGCCCCAACTGCAGTCCTCCTGGAGCCCCGGCCGGCACACCCACGCTCTCCCCCAACTCAGGGCTGAGCTGGGGGGTTGGGGGCCACAGGTCCCAGTGCACAGGCTGCATTTGGGGAATGGATCTGTGGGGGAAAATGTGCAGGGGTGGGGGGGTCACCCTGTGCTCGTGGCTCTCAGGGCCCCAACCAGGCAGCAGGCGGGGGCTCCTGGACTCCCCTTCACCCCTGCCCTGCCTCCTCGTCCCCAGCACATGGTGGTGGAGTGTGTGGGGCCAGCCTGGGGGGGGCTTTGCTCCTCCCCCCGCCCTTAGAGAACAGAGGATCCTTGGGGCAGGGACGAGGCTGAGGGAGAGAGCAGCTCAGAAAACAGCTGGCATAAGGCCGACTTTATATCAGCACCCCGTGCCCCCACGTTCCTGCTGGCGAGGTCCCGGGGACCATGACAGCACCCACGGTGCACTTCGCAGGAAAAGCATGGGGCCCTGGCGGCCAGGCCGCCCCTCAGAGGTGGACCCAACACCAAAGCAGACATGCTGGTCACTGCAGGGCATCCGAGACCCATGACCAAGCCCGAGCCTGCTGAGCGCCTTTGTCCCAGGAACCCCAGGGTCACCTGCCACCAGCACAGCCTGAGACGCACAGAGCCAGAGCCTGGGCGGCCGGGGCTTCCCCGGGACTCAGTGCCAGGGCAGCCTTGGCAGGCCCACGAGGCAGTGGCCTGTGGGGGCTCCTGGGGTTGGATGTACCACTGAGGGCACTGGCCTAGGGCTTCAGTAGCCACTGCCACCGGCCAGAGCCTGCCCTGTGTGGGCAAGGGTCAGCCAGGCCCGGGGTCCCAGGCCCCGGGGTCTGAGCGGGGTCACCAAGCTCTGGAGGACTTTTCTGCACAATGAATTTCTGCTTAACTCAGAAATGAGTGACTGTGTGCCTGGGGTCTTCGCCACGCGGGAGGGCACCCGGAGGCGCCCTGGTCTCAGGCAGCTGGTTCCCAGGCTGCGTCCTCCCCACTGGCTGGGCCACGGCTGGAATGGCCCGAGGACCAACCTCACTGCCTCAGAGGGGTCTTGGGCTACCGGCTGCAGTGGTGCTGGAGTCCTGCCCCTCATGGGCTCTGGAGGGCACAGCAGCAGAGCCCCTGGCTCTCAGGCAGAGCAGCGGCTGCCCCCTGGGCCACCCCAGCTTTGGCTGCCTGAGCCAGGCCTGCATCTTGGCTGCAGGCGCTGGGGCCTCACTGCTTCTCCTGGGGGGACCTGGACCCCCCAAGGCCTTGATCTAGAGCTCTGAGGTCTCATGGATGCAGGCAGCTGTGGTGGGAAGGAGGCCTCCGCATCTGTCGCTGGGAGACGAGGGTTCAGAGCCGGGGCTGTGCCGGCCTCTCCCGGGTGCCAGGCTCCTGCCACCAAGCGCGTGGCGCGGTCTTGGGCTCCGGGTCAGACGTTGCTAATACGGGCCTCCACCGAGAAGGCAGCAGAGTCCGTGGCCCTGTCCAGGGGCCGCTCCCCCCTGACGTAGCGCGGCTTCCGTACTGAAACGGGGTCAGAGACAGGCGGGGTCAGAGGGACCTGGACAGCGGGGACAGTGCAGGCCTCGGCCCTCACTGGAGGCTCTCAGGAGCGGCTGTGGCCCTGGCAGCTGGGGCTGTTGGCTCTGACCAGGCGGGAACCCTGATGTCCCTGCCCTAAGGCACCCTCAGAGCTCCTGCCTGGCTGCGTCCTCTCATTTGCACCTGGGCACCGGGGCCTGGATGAAGGTCAGCCTACCCCTGAAGGCAGAGGTGTGGGCCCCACACCATCACACACTTCAGGGGCTGGGGGTGCCCCCAAAATACAACCAGGCCCCGAAACCTCGAATGTGGCCTTATGAGAAGGGTTTGCAGGCGGGGTTACGTCAGGACCTCAGGTGCGATCGCCCAGGTTTGCGGGGCAGGCCCTAAACGCACGGCCAGTGCCCTCCGGAGAGGGAGGCAGAGAGAGGAGAGGAGATGCCGTGGGACCGCGGGGCAGAGACAGGCGACCAGGCCATACCCACAGATGCCTGAGCTGGCAGCGCTGGGGAGGCAGCAGGGTCCTCCCCGGCAGCCCCCGGAGGGGTATGGCCGGGCTGCCAGTGGCTTTGGAGTTCTGAACTCTGCTACTGTCAGGTTGAAGGTTTGTGGAAGCTGCAGCCACAGGGCACTCGGGCACCGTGAGGCCGGCTGGACATTTGCAGACAGGGCTGCTTTAGGGACGGGGCAGGTCCAGCCTTGATCAAGGAACTGTCTGTCCCTAAGGACACTGTCACCTGCCCCCATAACAGGCCTCTGCACACGGAAACGCAGCCGGGTGAGCCCTGTCAGCCTTGGAGCTACGGGGCTGTGGTCACTCAGCCTCTCTGTGCCTGTGGCCTCACCTATAAAATGGGTCCTAACCGGGCTGAGCCCTGGGTGCGCCTGACCCAGCGTCACTGAAGGGTGGCTGCTCTCAGTTGCTCAGGAGGGCCTGGCAGAGGCCGGCTGCACCTGTCCTCCGGGGGAGCTGGGACTTGGAGGAGGGGCAGGCAGTGGGGGTCTGCCCTGTGGTGGGTCCTCCTTTCCTGCAGACCCCATGTCTCAGAACGGGAAAGGGCATGGAAGTCACAGGGATTAAAGGGTGGGTGTGGGAAGAAAGCTGTCCAGGTGCCAGGCAGGAGACTGAAGGCACGGTCTGTCCTGGTGTAATAGACAAGCGATCACTTAGTTACGCATAGGTCTATACCGTGAGACTGAAGTCCCTACACTAAAGCAGACCGACAGAGAACAGCGATGTCGTAAGATGATGTAATTGATGATGGGACTGAACCTGGTATCTATTTGGTGTCACTGCTGTCAGTACTCATTTATTATGCTGGGACAGACTGTGCCTTTAGCCTCCTGCCTGGCACCTGGGCAGCTTTCTTCCCATAGGCGGGCATGGGGCGCCGGCCAAATCCGGCCCTGGCCCTGCCTCGCGGGTGAGTCTCCTGGGGACCTGGGCAGGGGCGGCCGAGGTGCGGAGCCGGCGTGTTTGGGGACAAACCCACAGAGCATCTGGGGTCTGGCCCAGGGACGGGAAGCCCCACGGCGCACGTGGTGCTGTTACCTGAGGGCTGTGGCGGGGGGATCATTGCAGCCTTGAAAAGGAGAGAAAGGCAGAGTGAGGACGCGGCCGGCACAGGCTCCCGCAGCCGGGGATGCTCAGCCCGGGCGGCGCAGGTTACTTACGGCTTCGCCAGGCTGCAGGGCCGGGGCTGCGGGGAAGAAGGCGGGGTCACCTGGAGCCCAGGGGCTGCCTCAGCCCGTTGTCACATCAGGGGAAGCAGAGGCCCTCGGGGTGAGGGCCAGGGGTCAGGCAGGTCCCACCCCCTCTCCCAGCTGCGCCGTCAGCCGGGCCGACCACCCTGCCACATTCTTCCAGGGCACTTGGGTGAGGGGGCCTCCCTAGCCCCCCAGGTGAGACTCCCCTCCCCGGACCCACCTCCCCACCTCAGTGGAGGGGACAAGCCACTCTCATGAGAAGTGTTTCTCTAGACTCTAGGCCCCAGGGGAAGGGCTCCCTCCCACCCTCCCAGGAGGAGCCTCAGGCAGAGGTGGCTTTCAGCCCCAGGGCATGGGCGTCTTCGTCCATGGTGGGGGGGGGCCGTGGCATCATGGCCAACCTGGATTCTCCTTGTCCCATGGCAACCAGGGCGTTCCAAGCCCTGAGCCACCCCTGCCCCAGGGTGCCCGTAGGCAGAGATGCTGAGCAGGCCGGGATGTGGGGGGTCTCTCGGTGCACGGCTACGGGCAGCCCCTGACTGGAGGCTGCGCCCTGGGAACCCAAGAGTGGCAGAGGCCCTAGCGTCCAACTCCCAGGACCCAGGAGACACAACAGCCCACGAAGGCAACCAGCGCTGGCCGAGAGGGGTGGCCACGGGTCTCACGGTAGCCAGCAGGGCAGCCTAGGGGCCTGGAGGAGGCCCCAGCTCTGGCCACGACAGTATGGCCACGTGCTCACCTCGGGGTCCGACCCGCTGACTGGACCCTCCCTGGCAGGGACAATGAGGGCAGGTGCCAGGGACCCTGCTCAGAGCCCGCCCCTGCCTGAGGGCGCTGCAGTCACAACCCTGCCTCTCCGGTGGGAGGGGTCGTGTCCAGGCCAGGGGTGACCCTGGTAGGCATGGCGTAGGCTGGGGTGTGGGCCCTGCACTGGCCTGGCCAGCCCTGACTCCAGGAGAGGGGAGGGAAGGGCTGTGGCTGTCAGAGGAGCCCACACGTCCAAGCTGCCGAGAGCCACCGGGCCCTGCTCCCCTCCCCTCGTGGTGCCGGAAGAGGGCTCCAGCAGAGGCTCCGAGCCCTGAGGAAGGCCCCCAGTGCTTTGAGCAGAGTCCATGCCTTCATGGAGGGACCCCTCAAATCCACACAAGGGTGCTTCTGGGAAGTGACTGCTGTTCTAACAACGGGACCCAAAAGCCCCGTGACAGGCCCTGCACCCTCCCGGCCTCTCTCAGTCCCAGGCCCATCCCCACGGCCGGCCCTGCCCACCTTGCACCCTCCCCTGGGACATGGGACGTGCACCGCTCCATGAGATACCTTTGTTTCTTCGGTAGAAGACCCTGGGGAGTTTACTGGAGCGCTTGAGGTAGAAGAACCCAGCTACGGAGAGGATGAGGCCGGAGCTGATGAAGAAGGTTCCCAGGAAGAGGGAGGCGGCCACGTGGGAAGCCCCTACAAACACACGCAGCTGCGCTGCTGAGCGGGATGCCGCCCTGGCCCCTCACTGGCCCCCGTGGCCCCTGCACATGGCAGGCTCCTGCTCCCCGAACATGCCTGAGCCTCACAGGATGGGCTGTGGGGGCTGAGGGCCCTACACGCGGACTTGGGTGGTCCCTGCAGGCTCTGCCACGCCTGGGCATCTGGCCATGGGGTCTGGGAAAGTTATGACCTCCCTGGCCTCAGCTACTTGCAGGAGTTCGGACGTTGGGCACGTTACAGGGGCCGCCCCGGCCAGGCTCTGCGGAAACGCCTCTCCGATTCCAGTTGCCCCGAAAGCCAGGGTTCCCAGGCTTACTCCTTCCTTGGGGCCCAGCACAGGCCCTGGGCCCCCGCGTGGTGCAGAGCCTTGAGCTGGCAGCAGGTGCCCCTGCTCCCCACTTGTCTCCACCTGCCTGGGCCAGGACGGGCGGGGCTGCTGGCCCAGGGCTCGGGACAGCTGGTGATGGCGCTGGGGAGGGGACTTTCCAACCTGAGACACAGGCACGTTTGCCAGGCTCGGCGGTCTTGCTTCTTCCCGCCCTGGCAGGGAGCCACAGAGGCCAAGAGCCCATCTAGGCCAACCCTACCCGAAAACACTGCCACTCAGGTCAGCAATGGGCCCAGGCCAGCTCCAGGCCCCGGTCCACTTTCTAAAGACGTGAGGGTTTTGCCCTCTCAGACACAGCCCTCTGCCCCGGCCCCAGGTCCAGCATGTCTTCTGCTGAAGGATGAGGGTCTGCAACTGCCTGGGTGGGCACCACGACCCGTGGCCCAGCCACACCCACGTCTCAGGAAGAGGTGCTAGGCTTGGCTACCTCAGAGCACCTGCCCCTCCTGGTTCCTGCGACTGTGGCCACAGGCCGGGGTGATCTTGGGTGAGGCAGAGGCAGGACCAAGCCGTGAGTATAAACCTGAGAGCGTGTTGTGTGGGTGTGTGAACCTGAGAGCGTGTTGTGTGGGTGTGTGAACCTGACAGCGTGTTGTGTGGCCGTGAGGGGTGTGAACGGTGTGGCCACGAGCCATGTGAACTGAGAGCCTGTGGTGTGGCCGTAGGGGCCTCCCCTAACTACGGCCCTTTACAGACGTGGACAGCAGTGTGGCCGTAAGCCGTGGGAACTGAAAGCCTGTGGTGTGGCCGTAAGGGCCTCCCCTAACTATGGCCCTTTACAGACGTGGACAGCATGCTCCACGTGTGACATCCCCAACACACCCCCACGCCAGCTGACCCCAGCCCCTTGGGCTGTCAGACCCCTCTGGTCCAGTTTGGCAGTGCAGGCCGACCCTGCGGTGACCGCGTCAGTGGTCAGGGTCTGCACTGGCGGTGGCTCCGACAGCCCCCAGCCTCCAGGACCCCGGCAGAGACTTACCAGGATGCGGCCGCCCGGGGGTCCCTGAGCTTCTGTTCATGGGGAACGGTGCACCCCGGCCAGCGACTGCGGGAGAGCGGAGTTGTGGGAAGGCTGCGTGCACGGAGCCCACAGGGGACCCCCGTGCACACCCTGAAGTGAATCTCAGGCCAGAAATGTGAAAGTGAGGGGCTGTCGGGGTGGGCAGCCCTCACCAGAGCTGTCCCAGATGGGCCACAGGACGCAGGAAGGCGGGGCCCCAGGGCTATTCCCCCAGCGCACAGCGGCTCTGAGGCAAGGTGGGGACACCGACAGCACCTCCCCAGGTTTCTCCCCAAGCTGGAGCTGTGGCCCTGCTGCGAGAAGGGACCCGGGAACAGGCGGGCAGACGTACAGCTTCGACACTCCGAGCCGTTGTAGGCCGGGAGGGTTCCGTTCCCACAGCGGACGCAGCTGGTGCTCCCATCCGCATTCCAGCGCCTGTAGCAGCCTGCGCAGGGCAGAGTACCGGCATCTCAGCCAAAGCAGAATCCCGGCAGCTCGGTCTCCCGGAAATGATTCTGTAACTTTCATCTGAAACACTGACGTGCTCTGGAGGTGCACGGCGGGCTGGGGCTGCAGGTGAGGACACCCCCAACAAGCATGGCTGGGCCCTGGGACACTGACCCGAACACTGCGCTGCGCCCTCCTGAGAGCACTGGGCGGCAGTGTCCACAATGAACAGGGCTGTGTGGGGGCCGTGCTCCACAGGACTGGAGGGCGGAGGCCAGCTTCCACCAACGCCCAGTCCCGGCCCCACAGCCTCCCCAGGACCCCCACCTGCAGCCCCTGCCCCATGATCTCCCCCAGGAACCCCCCCCAGACTCCCCCAGGACCCCCCATGGCCTCCCCAGGACCCCCACCTGCATCCCCTGCCCCACGGCCTCCCCAGGACCCCCACCTGCAGCCCCCACCCCATGACCTCCCACAGGACCCCCCACAGCCTGCCCCAGGACCCCCACCTGCAGTGCCTGGAGCTGCTGCCTTGTGTGCCATGTTCCCTCATGCAGCCCAGGCGGGACAGGCCCACCCCCCAGCAGCACGGCCTCCTACTCCAAGCTGACCCTGACCCTTGGTCCACCTGCCACCCCCCACCCCCTTGCACCCTCCCCAGGTCTCTCTTGGGGAATCCGGGAGAACCAGGTCTCATTTCTATCCCAGGCCAATGCTGCCCCCAAAGCCATACCCCTCCCTTCACGGACAGCCCGTCCTGCCCACCAGCCAGGGCACCCCTAACCTTAACCCTAACCCCCTGAGTTTCTAAACATCTCTAACATTCAGCCCTGAGCTGAGCAGACACACGCTGGATACTGACTGTGGTGTGGCTGCCAGCACTGGCCACAGGTGGACCACATGCCTCCGCCCGTCAGCATGGATTTTGCTGGTGTTTAAGCCGAACACAAATAGGCCACGGCCACACAGAGACCGCAGTGGAGAGTGGGCCTGGGACCCGCGCTCTCCCTGCACTGGGGACGGCTCCTGGAACAGGGCTCGTGCTGACCTCAGGGAGGCTCCCTCTGTCTACTTGAGAGCCTCTGCCCCGGAAGGCCAAGGAATGGGGGCCACGGCAGGGAGCCCGACAGCAGCGTGGCAGCGTGGCTGTGTCCGCAGAAGTGCCCAAAGCCTCCCCCAGTGGAGGTGACCAAGCTTCCCTGAGAGCAGCCACCGGCTGGGCCGCACACAAGAGAAGCACATCCAACACCACAAGCCTGGCACCTCCCCACACGCACCTGACAGCTCCCACCCTGTGCCCGTGCATGACCTGACAGCTCCCACCCTGTGCCCGTGCATGACCTGACAGCTCCCACCCTGTGCCCGTGCATGGGGCCACTTCGGCTCTTGGACCTCACGACCCCTGGCCTGGCCCCTCCACGGGCACCGTGACCACTGCATAACTGCCTGCACCCACATGGTGCCTGGGGTACAGAACCCCCCAGGAGATGCCACGGTCCCAGCACTCTAGCTGCCACAGCTTCCCCGCCAGAGGATGAGGGGCTCCAAGGTGCTCAGATTCCTCCCAGCCCCTCTATTCTCCCTCAGAGCAGGGCCCTCTTCCTCTTCCCTGCTCACACCGCAGATGTCATCACTGCCTTCCTGCGGCCTTCCCAGCCCCCACGCTCAGCCTCAGACCCCCACACCAGCCTCGGACCCCCACGCCCAGTCTCGGACCCCCAGGCCCACCCTCGGACCCCCAGGCCCAGCCTCGGACCCCCACGCCCAGCCTCAGACCCCCAGGCCCAGCCTCACTGACTGCTGCACCCACCATCTTGGCCACGCCCTCCTCCCGAGGCCCCTGGATCCCTAGGAGCAGCTCCTCTGGGTTCTTCCATCCCAGGAAGGCTGGGCCTCAGGATGGGGGTGCCAAGGCCCTTGGAGGGACAGCATGGGCATCTCAGCCCCCAGTCCACCACAGCCCCACCAGGAGACCACCCCCAGGGGCTGCCAAGGAGTGGCCCTCGCAGCTTCTCACTCCATCCTCCCCTCCCTTGGCTGCTCCACTCACTGCCACCAGAGAGTTCCTTCCACAGCCTCCCAGAACCTCCCACGAACGAGGCCTGCCCGTGGCACAATGACACAGGCCTGGTGTCCTCTGGGGGTGGCGTCCTGTTGATGGGCATCCCTGGCTCCACCCACCAGGTGCCAGCAGCACCTCTGCCCAAGGAGAGACAGCCAAAACTGTCTTGGGCTTTGCCAGAGGCCCCTGGAGCCAGGACTCCCTGTGAGAATGGCTGATGTCATGGGCCGCTTCCCCAGGCCCTTCACCCAGCACCTTTCTGAGCTCAGTTCACCTTCTGCTCCCGCCCTCAGGCAGCCTCCTCTCAGGGCTGCCTGCCCGGGAGACTCAGGGGTCCTTCCCCAAGCTCCACAGCCCTCACCACCCTGTCCACCCCTCTGGCCCTGCAGCGCCTGTGAGCACTGTCCTCGTCACAAAGGGAGGAACCTGGGCACACACACGCCCGTGGCTCAGGGGCTAGTCTGGAATCTGCTAGGGACAAAGCGGCTTACCTGGGCCACACAGGCTTGCGCCTGGACAGCTGGTGTTGACGCCCACCACGTCCACGCAGCACTCGGGCAGCTGGGCCTGGAGGGGACATGGCAGTGAACTCCAGGACGCCCGCCGGGCAGGCTCATGCTGGAGCAGCAGCAGCTGAGGGTGCCGTGTGAGCACTCGTGATGCCCACAGTTCCAGTCCCTTCTGGAGTCAGCATGAGGTGGCCCTCTGTCCCCTGTGGGCCTGGGAGTGAGGTGGGGACTCACGGCCACACCGGACGTCCCTGCGGGACCCAATGTAGGCCATCCCCAGGGAAAACCAGGGCCTGAGACAGAGTAAACCAGACCCGGGAGGTGCGCCATGCCCAGACCAAAGACCTCACACCACGAGGCAGCACCCACAGGCCACAGCAGCGCCCCCAACGTTCGGGGCAGTTCTCTGGATGCCTCTCCATCAGCAGTTTCCAGCTTGGCCCCACAGAGGAAGTGCCCGGGTCTGGCTGGTGTTTCAGGGACGAACTCACGCCCAGGTGTGCTGGGTACTGGTGTGTACAGTGTGCTCAAGGGCCCATTCCCTGACCACAGGCAGGCCGGACAGGCCTGGGGGGCCCTCAGTTTGTGTGTCGACCATAGCTGGGCCGTTTCTCGTGATGTGAGTGCAGTGAACAGTGAGGGCACCCGGGGTGACTGAGGAGTGTGGGGGAGAATCCACACTGCCAGGGAGGGGCCCAAGTGCAGCCCCTCAATTGCTCCAGCCAGGTCAGCAAGGGAGCCTCACCCCCCACCCACTCTGCCTTGGAGTCTGGAGCCTGCATCCTCCATCCTCGCTCCGATAGCAACTCGGGGCGTGCTGTGCCATTGCCGCTGGCTGAGCTGCTCCCAGTGGGGCCGGGACGCCTCACCATGGGGGCCCCACCTGAACCAGCCATTCCTGAGCAGGCGCTCACCTTGCAGGCAGCTCAGGGCTCCCCTCTGACCCCAACAGGGGACCCGGTCAGCACCTCTGGGGCTGGGACATCAGCAACTTCTAAACCTAGAAGGGTTAGACCCCTGTAGGGGACGGGCCCACTGCCCTCCACAGAGGCTGTGGCTTGATTTCCTGGTGTAAGCCACATGGACATGTGACAAGGGCACCTACCATGCTCTCCATGGACTTGCTGGCGACTCCCACCAGAAGGCCAGCCAGGAGGGCGAGGTGTGGCAGTGCCATGCTGAGAGCAGGAGGTGCGCGTGACCTGCACCAGGGAGGAGGGCGGAGCCAGAATGGGGTGGGGCCTAGGCAGGGAGGGCGGAGCCAAGGACAGTGGGGCCGAGGCAGGGAGGGTGGAGCCAAGGACAGTGGGGCCGAGGCAGGGAGGGCAGAGTCAAAGAGATGGGGTGGGGCCGAGGCAGGGAGGGCGGAGCCAAGGACAGTGGGGCCGAGGCAGGGAGGGTGGAGCCAAGGACAGTGGGGCCAAGACACGGAGGGCGGAGTCAAAGAGATGGGGTAGGGCCGAGGCAGGGAGGGTGGAGCCAAGGACAGTGGGGCCGAGGCAGGGAGGGTGGAGCCAAGGACAGTGGGGCCAAGACAGGGAGGGCGGAGTCAAAGAGATGGGGTGGGGCCGAGGCAGGGAGGGTGGAGCCAAGGACAGTGGGGCCGAGGCAGGAAGGGTGGAGTCAAAGAGATGGGGTGGGGCCGAGGCAGGGAGGGTGGAGCCAAGGACAGTGGGGCCGAGGCAGGGAGGGTGGAGCCAAGGACAGTGGGGCCAAGACAGGGAGGGCGGAGTCAAAGAGATGGGGTAGGGTCGAGGCAGGGAGGGTGGAGCCAAGGACAGTGGGGCTGAGGCAGGGAGGGCGGAGCCAAGGACAGTGGGGCTGAGGCAGGGAGGGCAGAGTCAAAGGGGATGGTGCTGAAGTAGGGAGGGCTTGGCCAGATATGGGGTGGAGGCCAAGGCAGGAGGGCGGAGCCAAAGAGATGGGGTGGGGCCAAAGAGGGTGGGGCTGAGGCAGGGAGGGTGGAGGCAAATGGAGATGGGTGGGGCTGTGGTGGGAGTGGCCTAATGGAGATGGGGTAGGCCTGAGGCAGGGAGGCTGGAGCCAAGTAGAGATTGGCAGGGCTGTGGTGGGGAGGGTGGGCCCAAATAGAAATAGGGTGGGCGGAGCCAAATGGAAGTGGGTAGGGCTGTAGCATGGGAGTGGGCCGTGACAGATGGTTGAGTCAAATGGAGATGGGGCAGGGCCACAGCTGGGGTGCAGTACCTTGACAGGGAGGGTGGGGCCAAATGGAGGTGGGGCGAAAGAGGGGTTGGGGCCTTTGGAGGCACAGTGGGGCGAGGTGTTGGCAGGGGTCTTACCTGCCCCTCCAGGATGGGGGTTACCGACATCAGCCCCTTGCCTGCCGAGGTGGTCAGGGGTTAGCTCTGGGAGGTCATGGGCTCAGCTGAGCCCTGCAGACCTGGGCTCAGTCCTGCAGATGAAAGCAGCAGGTGAGGCCAAGGTCAGGTGAGGGCAACCCCTGTGGGCCATGGCCTACAGTGCGGGTCTGGGTCCAGTCCGGGCCCTCTGTCCACCCCCTTGCTGAACCCCGGATGTCGAGTGGGGCATCCCGGAGGGGCCATCACTGGGCTGCAGAGGTCTCGGCACAGCTGCCTCCAGGACCCTCAAGCTGGCTTCTTGCAGGTGAGAGTGCCTGGGATCCAGGCCATCAGCCCAGCCTTTGCTCAGGGAGCAGGCCCGGAATGCAGTGGCCCAGGCTCCTCCTGCGCAAACCCCCTCTCCCCTGCAAACCCCC